CCCTACAAACAAATGTGAGAAGGTACACAAGATGTAAAGTGCACAGCAAAAAAAGTAAACAGGAAAGTAAGATACATAGACTGCTTATTATACAGATACATGAGATAACTGGTAAGATGGTTAGGAAAAGTTCTGTCTCACAAAAAAAGAAATAGTGAAGTAAAATTTCACAGCAGGATTATTTCGATGCCTACAAAACTTTTTGAAGCAGCCACCCCTGATTTTTCATATGATAAAGCACTTTTGCAAGCTTTATTTAAGAAAAATAATAAAAATAATAATCTGTAAATAGAGATGTAGTTGAGGTGTTTGCTATTTTGTTAAGTAAAAAGAAACATCTTCATAAGAGATCTTTAATCCTCAACCAGTATAACCTGTGATGCGAGCGGGCAGTACATAACCTGTACCAGAAGTCGTCTGGAACACCGCAAAGCAGCAAAGAGAAAACCAGCTCTGAGTAAATGACTGAACGATCACACATTCAAACCAATCTTGAAGGAACATTCTTGACTCTGAGAGCTCTTGCTCGCCTCCCTGGTTGAAGGACTTGCCAGTACTGGTAAGGTAATCTTGTATCTCGTTCAGTCCATCCTAGGAACTTGGCAGAACAATAATTTGGGGGTTCTGAAGGAAATTTCAGAGGTAAGAGCTCCCTACAGATTTTGTCTCTATACCTAAAGAGATCCAACGACAGCTTTTTGCTAATGTGCCCTTGCAGTTAAAAGAAATACGGCAGAGAATTTGTACAGAGGTGCCTTGTTTTATTTTCCATAGCTCTGGCTTTCCTGGCCTTTTATGAGTAATTGTCACAACTGCCTCCTTTCAGGCTCCATCCAGGTTCTGCTCTATTACCACCTACAAATCTGATTTATCAGACAAAATTTAAGACGTGGATTAAAAAAAAAAATCTGCACACAAGTTCCCATTTATGCAACACGGGCTACTTGGCAGAGACCTTTCCAGAACTGACCTCTCACAGCTAAATTTCTGCAGTTTGCCGTGGGGCTCTTGAAGACAGCAGTTACGTGGCTGATGCAGCTGGTCAATAATTCAAGTAACTTTACCAAGGACTCTCATATTAAAACTCTCAGTAATCACCACACACATAATTTTAATCTAGATCCAGATTTGATTTTTTCTGCTCCCTTCATCCACTTGTCGCTTGTCTTTGCGAGATCTGTCTTTAAGGAAGAAACAGCCTGCATATTTGGGGAAAAATTTACAGGGATGTGGCCACAGCAGTTAGAACCTTAATGCAATTTGGAATTCTTACCTCCCCAGGTACTTCCTCCTTGAGGAGCAGCAGATATAGGATGTACAGACGGATGAAAAGTTGGCTGCAAATCAAGCAGGTCATTTGGCAGCTTTGAAGTGCTACAAAGATAAATTATAATACAACCGTGTGAACTACATCGTGTGTTTTAATACAAAACAAAAGCTAGAAACTACCAACAGTACAGAAAGTTTTGTTACAAATTGGTTGGTAGAAAAGAGCTAAGCTGAAATCAGAAAGCCTGGTGAACTTCCTACTTTCAGTTTTGCAGGAAAATGTTAATTTCGCAAGCTAAGTTCTATCTTTTGTCAAAGCTAAGACATAACTACAACCAGTTTTCTCATCTTCTTCACAATCCAATAGCAGGGCTAAAGCCCATTATACTCTGCAATCGTCAGTAGCTTTTGAAATAACCTCATGGAAGCCCTAAAGCACGAGAAAAGCAGACAGGCAGAATGAACTCTAATAGGCTGTATCACCAAGATGTTACATCTAAATTCCACAACTGACACCTTTCTGCTATCAATCACTGCTGAGAAACTGGCTTACATCTATGACCTGTTAAAGAACTTCGGGGAAAGCGAAGTATAAGAAGCCTCGAAACACTTGATCACATATCAGTCATGTGAAAACTCATTTAAATGCACATTTTAGAGTATTAAAAAATCAAATCGAGTTCCAAGAACATCATATGGAAATGAAGAGTAAAGTCTTCAATACAACTTTTGCCATAATTTCACGAATCTAACCGGAAAAGTAAAATTCATCCTCTTGCAGAGTTCATTTTGTACTTTAAATTAGTTTTGAAGAAGAATATAAAACGGAGTACTGGTGTTCACCCATAACTTTTTATCCCACAAAATGGATCGAAATTTGCACGTACACCTGCTATTACAGACAGCAGCCAAGTCACTGTGGCATCCGAGCATCTTTCAAAATGAGACTGGTATAAGACTTGAAGGGCCTGTAGTGACATCCTACATCTCTGCAAATTCTCTTGCTGACCCAATCACTTGTAGCATTCAGTTTTTACTACTTCATTTCAACAGTGACTGAAATCACATTTTGCCACTCTTGCTCCTACTAAAAAAAGCAGCATGGTCTGGCCCAGCCCTGTAATGTGAGCAGCAGAAGCAAGATAATTTTCAAGGAAAGCTTGTTCAAGTTAATGACAGGGATTAAATGGGACACGTTGCCTCTGACAGCAAGTGACTGAACTTATGACCCAACATATCTCCTTCATGGCAGCTCCTTCTGTGAAATCTGCTCTTTGCTGATGGCAGTCACATTGCCAGCCACTGAATTTAATCATGAAGCAAACTAGCATTTGTATATTTAGATGAAAATGATCTTGTCTTCGCTATGTAGCACTTCTGGCTGTTTGAAGTAGATGTATTAGATGTTTTAGCCCTCTTAGAGAGCAAGATCAGATGGACACTCAAGTTATTAGCTCAAAGTGCAGGCCCATTTCAAATACTTTGGCCTCTAAAAAGCAGTTTAGAAGGAAAAAAAAATTCAACTAAGTCTTTCAGTTACTGACAGATTCTCTAGCTCCTTATATATGATTTAGATAGTTTCCATGTATTTGGTGTCAAGTAATTTCCTAGAAGAGCTTTCTAGTGGGGAAAGAAGGCTGTCAGAGAGCTGGCTACTTTAGAAGAACAGCAGATTCTCATGTGAGCTCTAACAGAACTGAATCCTCAAGAGAGGGCTCACGGAGAAAGGCGTGCGAAGATTGTTTCCCGTGAGAGGGAAACTGTTTTTATCTCTCACTACTCTTCTCTAATTTGTTCTTTAATAAATTTAGCTAACTTCCCCAAAACCGAGTCTGTTTTGCCTGGGATGGTAGATGTGGGTCATCTCCCTGTCCTTCCCTCAAGCCACGGGTCCTTCAATACATTTTCTCCCCTGGTCTAGCAGAGAAAGGGGGGTGATAGAGCAGCTGTGTGGGCACCTGGCTGCTGGCCAAGGTCAAACCACTAAAATTTGTTACCACTTTAGCTTTATAAAGATCAAAAATTGCAACATTAAATTCAGTATTATCTTTATGATCTCCTAATCTGACTTGCTGACTTTTCCTAAATTAACTTGTAAGGTTCTTTGGGAGCAAAGAATGTGTGTGTTACAGTTCCAACTGTCTTACTGACTACAAATAGCTACCAGGGTTGTCAGTAACTGGTTCCTATCAGAAACTATTCTGCAAACAGATGACGACAACAGACTTGTTATGTTATTTATGGTAGTAGGTTATTTTCCCATCAACTTTAGCCAAACCATCATTTTTATCACGTCCCTAATGGACTCTACACCCATCCAGCCTTTCACAATGCATACTCTGCAGCAGAGATTTGCAAGAAACCCTAGCTACAGTGCATCTCCGCGAAGTTACACCACTGGGCATACCTGTTTGAAGAGCTAGGGGTAGAAAAAATATCAATGGCTGGTGCGGTCATTATGCTTCCTGCTGCAGTCGACACAGGAGAAGCTGCAGTCGTTAAAGAGGTATGAGGTTTCTTTGCAAGTTCTTTTAGACGTTGCTCCTGTTGGGAAAGTGAGCTGGCGTAAGAAATCCAGAAACAATATTTGTGTACATGCCTTTGGAGGTGAGTAAAACAGAAGAATCATTTTTCTTTATTCCATGCAGCAGCGTCAGCTATTTACAATTTCAGGAGTCAGCGGTGCCACAAATCCTTCAGAAACTGTTTTAACACACCCTCCACAAGTTGTCTGGTATATGTACGTAAGATTCTACTTCCAGTGCTTTGCCAAGAGCACACATTCCGTGTTAATAACTGCTTATTCCCTATGCTCCTTGAAGAATCCTAAATAAGGTATCAACGAGAACAAAGGAAAAGTTTCTTGGGTTAAAAATTCTGGATGCCTACCTTTAAAGCTTTTAAACGAGCCTGTTCTTCCTCTAACGCAGCTTGTTTTTCCCTTTCATCAACTTTTGTGAGGGACAGGCCAGTGCTTGCAAGGGAAGAGACTGCATTGGAAAGGGTGGTAGCCCTAAAGTAATTGGACAGGAGAAAAGTTGGCTGTTACTACGTGACGTGTGACAAGAACATCTAAAGAACACTTTGCTTGTACCCACCTCATCTCCCTCTGAACTCATCTAACTCTGGTTTTATCTTACCCTGTACAAAGTGCTAAGTTTAAATAAGATACACCAAATGAACTGCAAAGTGAAAACGCTTAGAGATCATGCTCTCCACTCATTAACTGGATTTTGGAATTTCCCCCTTAAATGTTTCCCCTCCAAACACAGCTGCACAGGACTAATGTTTTAAGTCTTTGCTCTTTTCTGTTTGCCTAGGACAGCATTCTTGACAGATACACCAGAACCTCCAATAATCTGGGCTCCAATACAAATGGTTGCTGATTTAACAGGTTTAGTTAAGAAACTACCAATGCAACCAGTATAATCCAGAGGAAAAAAGTCTGCAATTTATCATCACGTTTAAAAGCGTGCAAAAAGATCCAAAACAAATACTTAACCTTTTAAAACAAACTTATCTTACAATAGAAATATTCTGAGAAGTAGCTAACAAAACGCTGCCAAGTGCTAGTATTGCTACTACCACAAAAAAAGAACATATAAAATATTACTGCCTTACTTTCTGAATGTGCAATAAAGAAGCACTGTTTCATTCTACAAATCTTCTCCCCAGTATTACACTTTTTAAAATTTAAACAACAAAGTTATTTGCCTAGAGGACTTCTCTAGATAGCACTTTGTGTTTTAACAAGCACACTTTTATCATATCTGTTACGGCTTTAATCTCCAATTACTTTAAAAATCTATCCTTAGTATAAGGACTTCCAGAAGCATTTCCTTGCTTTTGAAAAAAAGAGATTAAAGTTAAAATACAAGAGTCTAAGGACATTGATAAACAAATGTTGCATACCTTACAGAATCCTAATCATTAACATAAAATGAATGTTTGCAAGTGGTAAATGAGAAAAACTTAATTTCTCTTCAGAAATTGAAGATTAAATATTAGAAGTGTAACTACTACACGAGCGATTCTACAGCAACCACTTGCAGCTCCTTAGATTCTAGTTCTGTTGACCTGGAAGAAGCTCCATGAAGTACTCAGCAAAAGATACAATAACTTGCTATTCTACCACTGTTAATTACAGTATCTTCAACACAGCTGCACAAACCTTAATTTATAATGAAATCCAAAAGAATGGATTTAACATTCAATTCAACAACTGTTTCAAAGGACAAGGGCACAAGTACCTGCTTGCAGCTGTGGAATCTTTGATTTTCTTCCCTTCTAGAGAAGCTAAATGTTGTTCCAAAGCATCAAGAAGGCTACTCGGTGCCTGAAAAAAACAAAACAACAAAGCAAGACAAAAGAACATACCTAAAAAAGCATTCAGAAAAAAACATTCAGGAATAGATTTGAAAAATCTAAGGAAGCAATTTAGTAGTTACAAGACTTTCAGAGGATGCAACTGCAGGGCAACTACTACAACTCAAGAATACTTAAACGTCATCTTGGCATCCACTACATATTTAATTACTTAAAATATCAGGTGATGTACTTGCCTCACTACATTACTCTGTCATAATGACTCACCAAGTACTGAAATATGTCGAGAGATGTTAAATTAAGAGCTAGGAATAAGTAAGCAGACCGTTGGAAGCAGTCAGTGTTTAAAGAGACACTAAGAAGAAATTGTACCTGAAGCCACTTCTGTGGGTACGCTCTGCAAGCCTTCACAATGATTTAAATGGGCACACAGCCAAAAGCAAGCTTGCTAAAAACCAAAGCTTCATAACATTGTGTAAAAGCTTCATTATGCGAACTCACAGATACCAATCGCGTCTTTGAGCTTCACAGAAGTTGTCTTAAAACTCAGAGTGCGAAAGAAAAAACCTACAATATTTTACAACAGGATGACAGCATAGAAAAGTCAGGCTCCAACAGAGGTTGGATTTACTCACAAATTTGGAGATAATCTGCTAACAATGTACACAAGAAAGCGTAAGTGAATGTCAAGATGCCAAGCTTTTTTGATTATGCAACCCCAAAGCAGACATGTACTGGCAACCACATAATAGGTTTATCTACCTGTGAGAGATCTGGTATGTCTCCTCTGTCAATTCCAACTTGCTGTAAATAAAACAAATGAGCTTTAGAACCTGTTTGCTTCTGTTAAAAGGCAGAGATGCTCAAAAAGCAAATAGCATTAAGTAATAAGAAGCACAAACCTGTCTACATACAATTTAAATCTCCACAATCCAAACCCTATAATGGTTGGCTACAATAAATTGTGTTAAACGTAGACACAATTGTAGTACACCTACTAAGAGATACTTTACCAGATACAATTTTAGAAATGAATAAATAAAACTAAGTAAGAATCAAGTGTTTCAGAATTTTAAGGCTAGAGAAGTTTGCCTATCCCACAGTTTATGTGGTAAATGTAACATCATCTAGGCGTTCCTGCTCTGGCAGGGGGATTGGACTAGATGATCTTCTGAGGTCCCTTCCAACCCCTGACATTCTGTGATTCTGTGAAATTCTCGCACCTACTGATACAGAGCATGTATTTCCCACGACAAAGCACCTTCTAAGTTTTTTGAAGAAGCTGTTTCCTAAATGCAGATCAAAGAGCATGTATTTCCCACGACAAAGCACCTTCAAAGTTTTTTAAAGAAGTTGTTTCCTAAATGCAGATCAAATTTATGATGTTCTGCAGTGGGATATATATTGTTACAATAGAAAGATTAGTACTCTCAACTATCTGAAGGTAGTATCTCTGAAATTGTGTCAGGGCAGACAGTGAGCCAAGCTCTAGAGCCTTTTTTTTTTTTTTAAAGAGGTATGAACATGAAGGAAAGCAAAACAAGAACAGGAGCACACTGGCCAGCACAGAGACTGACAAGATCATCCCTTGATGGCACTGCAATCTCACTGGAAGGATGAAGGATCTGCTTTATAAGAAAATAAGCACTTGATAAGCCATTTGAAATAAAGGGCAAAGTTTGCCCAACTGAAGCTTACCTCCGCAACTTTAAGGAACTCTGAGATCCGTGTCATTCTAGTGAGGAACTTCTTATATATATCAAGGCCTTCTTTGCACTGGTTCTTTTTCATATCAAAGTATTTTTCTATAAACAGTAAGAATACGTGCATTAAGAAATCCAGCATTCTGGAAAGTGAAAGCATATAGAACGAGACAAGAAGAAAACTCCTGCAGATCTGGTTTATGACGTTGTGTTGCACCAAACGACAACAGCTCTGCAGAACATGTGCCAAGGATGACAGGCATGCAATGACACCTTACCTTGCAGGTCCTAGATCTCTCAAAAGCATAACCACCCTGAAGAGGACAATTAATTTTAAAAAGAGGTCACCCAAAGGAACGCAAAGTCATCCTCTTGGGGGAGGGAGGTGAGGAAAGCAATTTTACAATTTGGCAGTCAAGCATCTACTCTCTTCCAGCGCTCACAGGTAAGATTTTAGTATCAGCCACCAGACTCACGACTCTTGTTACAAGCAGTTGGGCTACAACTGACGACAAAACACCGGTGCTGAAAGTAGGAGGGTCCCACTCTTCTTGAAACAGCACTTTAAAGGCCTGTTTCTACATTAAGCCTCACTCGAAACATGAGTGAAAGCAACTACATCCTAGGTCTGCTTACTGAGGGAAAAGCAGTAGACAGGGGCTTCAGACTCGGAGCGTGACTGTCCTTACACTAATTCTGGATTTTGCTTTCTGTTTTACAAGCACTGGGTAAGAATAGCAATCTGGTGGCTTGATCCCATTTGCTTTCTGTTTTACAAGCACTGGGTAAGAACAGCAATCTGGTAGCTTGATCCCACCACAGACTATAACCAAACCAAGCAAACCAACAGATTATTTTCCCTAATTTATTTTCAAAATTTAAGCTCCCCTGCATCTCCAGTGCATGCAAGCAAGAAGGCTTGAAACCTTAATTTGTAATTTCCCTTAAAATATAAGGGATGCTCTAGAAACTTGAGCTAACCAAGCAAGATTAAAGTTTTGAGAGTCAAACAATCACAGATGCTGTGACTGCAAATTTGTAACTGACCACAACTTACTCGACAAAACCTGATCTTATTTCTTAGAGAAAAAACATCAACGAGTAAAACCAAAGACACACAACAAAAAACCCCCAAAGCAGTGCAAGTCAAAAAATTAAGAAAATCTCGCACAGGCTTTCCTTTCATAAATCTATCCATCTCTGTAATATAATGCAACGGAAAATGCAATTGGATAGAAAAACCTTGGAAATAAATCTTGAATTGGAAATAACTGTAATATTTTGATCTTTTACAGCAAGACTATTGCAACGTCTCAAAAAAGAGCAGCTCTTGGAGATTGTTTACTGAACTACCTCCCCAAAGTCCAACATTGCAAAAAGCAGTTATATTTACCCAAGAGGTTAATAATCCCTTCGTTATATGCCGCAAACAGTCTAATTGCATCTTTGAAGAGGAGCATGAAGGCAGCATTAATGACACCATTTGTAAGTTCATTGCTATTGACCTAGGAAGATCAGAAAAAAGTTAATTTAAATGAATTGATCATTTATTGGAAAACTTCTAGTTGAACTCCAGTACTCTATCCCAAGGCATGCTTTCCAGTCCTCTCGCTGGCTCTTAGCAGAACGTAGCAGCACAAAAAATCAGCTCAGGATCTCTCAGCACAGAATTAAATCGAATTATTTTGACAGATATTTTTCATACTTAACATTAACGTGAACTACCATAACTAGAAGGAAGAAATAAGCAACTTTTAAATGAACAAACAATTCTCACACAGTGTACATAATAAACATCACTGATTAGCACAAGGCATTCTCTCCAGTGAGCACTGTATCTCTTTTTCCTGATTTCTTGGAGATACACCAATGAACAAAATGATTTGTGCTCTTTAAGTTGTGCAGGCAACAAGGAACCAAGTTCAAGACCTTTAATCTCATCCTATTTTACAAGGTTGTGCAGGTTGTCAAGAATGTTTTACATATGTACGTGCTACTACACTTACATTGAAGTCAAGAAGTGCATCCATTTGATTCTGTATAATGGGTACAGTTTTTAGGAGTTTTTCTGTGCTCATTGTTCTCATCACTCCATCAGCCCTGTTGTGCAAAACAAAAGACAAATTTTCACCTGAATTTTGAAGGCAACTGCTAAGCGCAAAACGTAACGCAGAAAATTAAACAGGTCAGAGAAAACATTTAAATCCCTGCAATTCAGAGCAGACATTTTGGTGCTTAGGAAAGCTGCCTAGCCACTACAACTGTAATAAAACCAGTGTACAAAAGTAACAACTTTTATTTAGCCAAAATATGAATCCAAGATGAATTTTTATGCAGAGAAAATGAAACTGATAGTGCTCAGAAACACAGCAGAGCTATGATGCATCAGGTAACCACAAAAACGCTCCAAAGGTTATTTCTGAAGCCAGTTTTTATCCATGCTTTTTCCAGTCACCTGATTACTATGTAAGGTTAGTTTGGATGATTTTCCTTTAGCAGTAAGAATAAGGGAATGTGGCAATATGTTTCTCAAGCTTCCTCAGAGAGATTATACAGACTATATGACATTTCTTTAATGGTTGACTACTGATATTTGGTTGCTCATGAATTGTCCAGATTAAAAAAGATCAAAAACATTCAAGAAAAGCAACAATCAAGGAAGAGATTATATCACCTCAGCAACCAGAAATGACTGCTTTTTCTAAGACAAATCAGACAGCCTTGCAGTTCTCCAGCACACACACAGAGCACACCTGGTGTTTCCTACAAGTAAAATCTCACGGAGCATCTGCACAGAAAAGGCCACGGTCGTTCTCTGTGCTGGAAGGCAACGGGCAACACACAGCCTCAGCTTTCTACTCATGACATGAACTCCCTCCCTAACAGCAAACAACAACTGCAATAAACCAGACGTGGCAGGGCATAAGTGCAGAGCCCCTGAGAAACGGAGGGGTGGAAAAGGTAGAGTGCTGCCTCTCCTGCTGGCTCACAGAAGGACCTCCAGGCACGTGCTGTTGGCTAAATAATAATTCACTTTATTAGGCCTAAATCACTTGATTATCTAAATTACTTGTGTATCTCTAGTTTATCTGCAGCCACCTGACCACACACACATCCTCTACGTAGAAAAGGTAAGGTGGCTCCTGATTTCTGGGACTCCAACCATCTCTATAGGCAGAAAGAGCAAAAGCAGCCCAAGCGCTCCCCTTTTCCTTAACTGTCACATTTCAAACCCAAAAGGACCACACAGTATTAGCACCCAGATGCAAGGAGCTGTGGACAGTATTCTCAGACCAATTTTAAATGTTTCTGTAACACTAATGCAAGATGCTGTTAGACAGCCCACTGCTGCCGTTAACTCATTTAACAGTTTGAGATTTCTGTGAGTTATGAATTCATTTTTTAGCATCAATATAAACTAGCCTGCACATGATAATAAAGGATGCCCAAACATGAAACTAAAATTCTGTTTTCACTTTTAAAAAGCACTGCATACAGAGATGAGGGACAAAGATGGAAATATTTTCAGCCACAACCAGTACGTGTTCACTAGCTTTCCCAATGGCAGAGATCTCAGATTAACTCCACCCTTCGCTGGCACACGCGATTAACCCAAGTACCGCACCGTGCCCTGCACCGTGCTATTGGACATCTAACCAGGCACCTGGTCTCAAACAAGTGATTTCTCCTTAAGGAGCTCACTTTCCAGGGAAACTGAATTCCTAGAGACAAACTCAGAAGAGCATCTCCTACAACGTTGTGCTTAAAATCATGAACTGACTACCTTTACAAAGGTAGTAAACTTCCTACAGGCATTTTGGGACAAAAACAGATAAAGACCAGGAAGGTCTGCAAGGTACCTCACAGAACATCTGTCACGGAACCACTCCAGAGCTAAAGGCAAAGGAAATTGCACAGTCCCCTCTACTACACGCAAAACACAGCAACTGGGTGAAGTCTCGTGGAAGATTTGTCCAAATTTCTTTTTTTGATATACACTTGGATGCATACAATTCTTCATCTCTTTATATTAAACTGTTACTGTTTAAAGAAGTAAAATTAGGACACATAAAATATTTTTGCAATATACAAAACTGGGCAGTTGACCCTTGGTGAGCCATGGGAGGTAACTCACAAAAGCAGACATTACTGTCGGTACTTGAATTACAGGACATAAGAAATTCTCGTAATAGGCCAAACAAATTATGGTCCTTACCCTCTTTTTACTTTTGTGAAGTCAAAAGCCACTTGTCTGTAGGAAACTGCCTTTTCATTCAGATATCTACTATACCGTCTGATGAACGTTGACATGTCATAACCTAAAAAACAAGTTTCAGAAGCTTATAATTTATCCAGTCAAAGATGAAGAACACTAAATAAAGTGCAAGATACTAAGACAAGACAGTTTCATAATGTTTTTACCTGATTCTGTATAGTTCCTTTGTGTTACCAAGAGCCACGTATGCCATTGTATCCACCATGGAAATGAGACATCACTGCAACTATCTAGAAGTTCACACTTCGCTTCCTAAGGAAATTACTTCCAAAAGCAAAGCAAAGTGTTTCTCTGCAAGTTCTCCCATACGATGACAGAAAATACTACCAAAAAAACCCTACATGATGCATTCACAAATGTTTGTGTCAGCTCTGCAACACATTCTCTCATTTATGACTGAACAGAAAAAAAAGGCACTGAGAGAAACATTAAGACATCATAGAATTTTTACCATTCTAAGACATTGGCAATAAGAAATATTGTAATAACTGTCAGTCTACGGATACAATCTAAAAAAAAGATCTGTTCATAATCTATACTGAGACCATGGAAGTCCAGACCCAACGTAAGACAATCTGGCCGACCCTTGGTTATCACAGAGAAGGTTTCTGTGCCTGGGCAACCACTCTGCGTGCCTGTTTTGGTACACTTGTGGCAAAAAATTTAGAAGCAGTTATACGAAAAGTAACAGAAAAAGTGAAAACAAAACCCCCGGAAAAAAAGAAGTGAGAACTACAGGTATGATCAGAAATGCACTGGGCTGAAGCATAATATTTTGGAAGCGTATTTCAGTTGAAAATAAAATGAACTAGGGAGAAATTTGCCCACAGAATTAGTCTGAAAGATGGATGGAGCTGTCTTCAATTTCCAAAAGAGTTTGTTGACTTTTTTTTTTTGATACAGTTCTTGTCTCATTGACATGTTTTGTCTGAGGTGCACATATGACTTTTTTAAAATTTTGACTTACTGATCAAAATATACCTCTCCAAACTGAGAAATCTCTTCAGAAATTGGACTATCGAGTCACATCTGTTTAGCTTAGAAAATCAGAAGCATTTATAAGCCTTTCCTAAAACACACAACAAATTCCTCAAGCAGACAGCTTCTGCCATGCCACAACAGCATTTTAAATTAAGAAACGCAGTCTGGGGTAAAACAGACAGAAAAATTACTTCTTAAATGACACAGTGCATTAGAGGGTATTACCAACTTGTACGTACTGTCCCCCATCATTCCACTAACTTTTAAAGAAAAAGATGCCTTACCTTGCAATCCACTTTTGTCTAGGAAATTGCTCAAATTAAACAATGTGTTTCTGGACGCCAGATACTGGATAAAACGCTAGATGAAAGGAAAAATTTGAATGCTTTTACTACATTACCAATGAGCTAGAGCTGAGGTAACAGTACTAGAAGCCCTTTTTTATCCAGCTTATGAAATTCAGCTTTGAAATTTTAAGACCGATTTCAAATTTGGAAACCACTACAGAAACTCAGCTGAATTTTTCAAATGAAGCTAGTTACTTTTTTTAATGTAAAAATCTGTGAACAAAGCAAAATCACATAAAAGCTGGATGAAGGCCTCTGACTGAAAGACCTTGTTTGTTTTACGCCTGAATACAGAACTAGAAACTTCTGAAAATCTCTCCCAAAATATTTTCTCAGATTCCATGTTCACAATGGTATCACTAACTTCAATTTTATAGCAGTTTATTTAATTTCACCAATTAGCCAAGGCATCTTTGCTCAGTATAAAACTGTAATGGTACTTAGGTAGGAAAATAAGGTGACATAAATGTTGGTTTGCTTACAAATCAACTTTTAAACAGAAGAATCTCTATAGAGCATTAATACAGTATCACACTTGGTACATTTCACATAATTCTGAATTGTGCTTCACAAAATGAATGATGCCATCTTCATTCTGTCAAGATGCATTTCAAGTCACTGGCACATCTTAATGTAGTAGGAAACATAGTTCTGTCTTATAAACCATTTATAGAGAGTTGCTACAAAAATAAACGCAGCATCCACTTGCATTAACATTTTCACAGAAGAAAAAATAGTTCCAATTAGCATACCGTGTCCTGCTGAATTATTTTCATTAGCATAAATACACAGGTTACATAGAAGGAAGACTGAAGAATAGTAAAGGCACTCAGTGCTTAGTTATAAATGAATTAAGCAAAAGCTGGACAACGAAATGTCTTTCAGCTTTTTACTTGTTTTTCCCCATGTTCATTGCTCAAGTACTACTTCTAGCTGTGAAAAGCTTGATCTTGAGCAGCAATCTTACTCTCATTACTTCCGTAACACGTTTGGCAAGCAAAATATGTCTGGCAGTTTTATTCTCAAAATGGCAAGTGTTTCAGACAGTGGTCCCATGAAATACCTTTAATTACTACGGAATATATTGATATCAGTTTCAAATCTGCATGACTTGAAGTGCAAGCACAGCAAAAGCGTACAGACTCTACTTTGGGAAGTGTCAATTATCCTAGGGATAATGCTTAAAGGCAACATGAGAAGTTTGCCCTCTTGTGGCTTAGCTTCAAAGAATAGGTTTTCACCAAGAGAAGTTTGCCCTCTTGTGGCTTAGCTTCAAATAGGTTTTCACCAAGACTAGAATTACTCTGCAGCTAACCTGCAAGAGAAACCAGTATATATCTGCATTTATTAATTTTTTAGAAAACTTAACAGTTCCCCACCCCAATCCAGCCAGTCAGCCAGAGGAAGCAGCTACATGACCTGTAAGAACTAAATAAACTAAATAAATTAACTAAATAAAACCTGAAATGAAAACTTTTGGTCCTCCCTACAAAATCCTATACAGAATTTTAAGCTATCCCTCTTAATTCCAAAATTCGTATTGTTTACATTATACTGACTGTTTACAGTAAAAAGGAATGTTTAGTATACAGAATTTTAAGCTATCCCTCTTAATTCAAAAATCCATATTGTTTACATTAAACTGACTGTTTACAGTAAAAAGGAATGTTCGCAAACACTTTCTAAGAAAGAGTTAAAATTATAGTTTGGGGCTTTTTTTTAAAAAAAAACCCAACAGATAATTCAATTTGCTGCTATGCTTGACTTTGTATTTTGATAAATAAGGTCCCACTGGAATTCAAGCTCAAAACAAGCTTATTCTTTTGTGCATAAACTGAAGTTTTGCTTGCTTAATTGATCTGCAGTATGTGATAAGTTACTTAGATGTTCACACTCAAAGCCAGCTCACAGGCACACAGCTGTCCTCTCTGCAAAAGATTACAGGGCAGACGGTGGAAAACTGTTCAGAATTGAGGTACATGACAGAAAACACTACCTAGATTAGCTAAAGCACAAACCTAAAGATGCTTCCACTTTCAGAATCCCACTCAAGTTAATTTCCACTGGTTTCATTTGTTTGTTTTATTAGAATAACAAAGGTACCTCCAGAGTTCAGGTCACTTAATCTTTATTCTAGAATTCTAACCTTTAAAGTAGAAACAAACGAAGCAGATAAACATAAGATGAGACTTGTGTTCATGCAGAGCTAGACATAAAGAGGTAAAAATAAAGATTTCCTTACAAAGATAATTAGTGGGAGCATTCAGCTGACATTTATAGAAATGAAGTGCTGCGACTGTTTGCAGACATATTATTTTTGGTATTACCTCATTGCCGTACACCATTAGATGATGGGTTGTGATGAGGGATTTGAAGACCACTACCCAGCTACTGTTGGTCGTTCTTTCAAACAAACTGTCTGCCAGTTGTGGGATGTTCACATTCATCTCATTTGTGCACTGGATTAAATCTGCAACACAGAAGTTTTTGTTATTGAGTTCTATGAAGGAAGATCAGTAACATAAAAAGAAAAAAAAAAATCTGTACACTTTAAATAGTAACATTTTCCATGAAAACTAAGGGGCTTTCCAGAACAACAAATATTTTCCTGAAAAGCACTGTGGTGATGGTCTACCAGAACCTTGTAATACAAAGTCCATCCTGCTCATTGGCAAGATTCCATGTCCTTGATTGCTTTTCCAGTTGCCTTAGAAGGTCCTGGAATAGAAGTACCATAATGACGTACATCATCTCTAACAACTCGCAGCTTTCAAGTATTGAAACCTTTAAATGGCAAAGTAGCTCTTACACGCTACCATTCCATCAAGTTTTCATAGAACCATACAATTGTCCGGGTTGGAAGGGACCTTAAAGATCATCCAGTTCCAACTCCCTGCCATGGACAGGGACATCCCCCACTAGATCAGGCTGCCCAGAGCCCCATCCAGCCTGGCCTGAAAAACTTCCAGGGATGGGGCTTCCACCCTCTCTCTGGGCAACCTGTGCCAGGGTCTCACCACCCTCATGGGGAAGAACTTCTTCCTAACGTCCAATCTGAACCGATCCATCTCTGGCTTCAATCCATTCCCCCTAGTCTTATCACTACCCGACATCCTAAAAAGTCACAGAATCACTAAGGCTGGAAAAAGACCTCCGAGATCATCAAATCCAGCCTGTGTCCCAACACCACCACATCGGCCAGACTACAGCCGCTCCTTAAACCCCTCCAGGGACAGTGACCCCATCACTTCCCTGGGCAGTGCATCCCAGTGCCTAAGCACCCTCCTTGTGAGGAAGTCCCTCACCAGCTTTCTTGTAGGCCCCATTAAGATACTGGAAGCCACAACAAGGTCTCCTCAGATCCACCTTCTCTCCAGACTGAACAACTCCAACTCTCTCAGTCTGTTTTACTGGAAGGTTACGACTAGAATTAACTGTAACCTCAGATTTCTGGCCTTTTAATGGACAAGTAAATCCATCCAGAGACTGGTTCAATATGAAAAATAAAAAACTCAAATATTGCTTAGTCTTGCTACAATGCAATCAACAGCTTCAAAAAAGGCAGAGGAAATGTTAAGTGGAAAAGGAGCCTCTAGCTACACTGCCACAGGCTGACAGATGAGTTCAAGTGGGTTGTTAACTGAAAAGGTGGCTTGGAGCACAGCAAAACCTGAGATTGGCTAGCTACAAAAAAAATGCAGTTCAATTTTTTTTTCAACCTAGACTTCCAGTAGACAAGATCTCGTGACTCCTCAAATAGTTGGTCAAACAAGAAGTTACGCTGACTATCTTTATTTGAGACTTGCAACTGCCACAACGCTATCGCCATGAGGATACAATCAATATAATAATACTTAACAACCCAGTAATTTACTGCCAAATGCCGATGAAGGAAGCACTGACTTAAGATCCTGACGCTATTGTGACAAATACAACAGGGGCAACTCTATTAACCTCCAAATGTGAGATAACACAGCGTGCTAGCATTTACTACAAAGTTTAAACTCAGTGCAACATAGTACCAGTGACATTTTACTACTGTTACCACCCCAAACTAAACAGGTAATTTTCACTCAAACTGCCAGCCCTGCCCAAGGCCAGAGCCCAATAAGGATCAAGACTTAAGCAAGCCCTACGTCCGTCTGTCTATGGGCTACAAAGACTAACTGGAAACATCTGTTTAATCTGAAGGGAGATGTTTAACCTTTGAATACAGCTTTATATCCTGCTACGAGCAATCATTCATCAAAAGGGATTCCTGAAAGACAGGACCCTCCTTCAGGCAGAGAAGCAGCCAAGCATGGCTACCACAAACTCAGAACGTATGGTCAGAACTGAAAAAGCTGCTATTTACAAGTTTAAGTATTAAAGGAAGCAAGCAGGAAATGATTTCCACGTTCAGAATGTAATGAGATGGAGAGATTAGCCATGCCTTTATCTACAAGTAAAACTGGGATGACTACAGGCATTCATGACCTCATTTTTAAGTCACGGTTATCTATTATTGGATGATGATTTGAGGCTGTTAAGACAATGCTAGGATATTACTCAGCAAGAGACATGCTCTGAACTGGATCATTAAAACCAAGCCCTGCAGCTCCTTGATCTTCAGGTCTTCCCACCTAAGTAACAGCACGAGCAGCTTTGTGCAAGGCTGTCTGGCAGAAATGCACATTAAATACAAAGGCATGTGCATCACAAGACACCAAGTCATCCGGTTTTAGCATAAGAGGTGCAAATGCATATTAGAAAGTGAGAGCTTCTATTCTTAAATGGCAACATTTGCCAACTACTCAACAGTAACAAAGGAAGGGGCACCACTTGAAAATTCGCTATCTAAAATTACTAAAAAAATTGTATCTGTTCTAGATGATACTCTGTGTCAGAAAAACTGTTCTCCAAAATGTTGCTGGACTTTTAAATAATGTTTTGGTATCTGTTGCAGTGTGTAAAAGAAAACAGGCTCTGTAACCCAGCAGAAAATCATCCCTCGCAGAACTGATGAGTGTCAATGTGAAAAGCCTCTGAACAAACTTGGGGGCAGGCACGTGAGGAAGGAGAACTAGTAGCCAACTGGGAGAGAACACAGGCAAGAACAGAGACAGGTCTAGCCTTGAATGGGAGGAAGTAAATTTGCAAATGCAAACAAGGGAGTCACTTTGATACCAGTTACTACAAATTAAGCTTAGTAAAACATGAAGTTTCTCACTAAAAAAAATGGGTCAAACAGATGCTTAATGACCCGGTATGCCCCGATACCCCAGAGTGCCTACATCGTAGACATTTCAGAACAGTTACATCTATCTAACAGCTTCTTTGAAAGTATTTGCAAGAGCGATGCTAACTAGGTAAGGAAATATTTGCACAGTTAAATCCAACTTAGATCAGCGATTTTTGTGCTAACCACAGCACAAGGAGGATAGTACAGACACAGCAGAAGACAAGACAGCACGCTGCATCCCACACTGCCTGCTCAGGAAGGCTGTCACATTCAGCCTTCTTGCTTATTTATCCTACTCCCACAGACACCTTTCATTAAGAGAGAGGAACAAATATATAATTATTTTCACATCCTACACTTTACACATCTCATTTCACACCCACCTATGAAAATACTAGCTTGTATTTTGAAAGCTCAAGTACCCAAAGCAATGTATCTCAAGACTGCTAGTTACTGGCCACGGTATGAGCAATACCACAGGCAGGTACACGGCCAAAGGGCAAGGCACTACAGGGGAGTAACTTTAATCTCTTTTAAAATAAACAAACAAACAAAAACCAACAAAATAAAACAAAAAATAAATAAACTCATACAAGCAAAAAAGGACAGCCTTCTGTGAAAGCGTGATGACTGTTTCATCTCTGATCTTCTTGTCACAGGAGAGAAGGATTGAATCCTTAACTCCCATCAACACTACAGAAAGGAAAGTCTCTCTCTCTCTCCCTCCTGCCCTTCTGCATTAACGCCCACACCGTGTCACAGTCGGGAAGCACAAACCACCTAAAAGCTGCTAAAACTTCCACAGCGTAAGACATAGAGTGTACAGATATTGAATAATAAACATGGATCATTGTTTCAAAGGTGGCAGCAGTTAGGAACAAGAATTTCTAAGTTAGGCTTGCAGCTGGCGAGACAAGTTGTATAAGGGTTCAGACACCAACAAATTCACAGTCATATTCACGGATGTAGCAGGAGACAACCCAGAGAAAGGCCAAACGGATGGCCAGGGCTGAGCACACGATGCGCAAGGAGTGGTTGAAGCAGGTGGGTTTATTCCATTTGCAGAACCGAAGGCTGAAGGCAGGGACAGGGGAGTATAAACGCTCTCTTCATGGTTGGATGTTTTTTAGAAGTTCACAGCAAAAGGATGAGAGGCAGCAGACGTGCTGCAACAAGGGAAATTCTTATCAGATGAAGAAATTTAAAAAAATCTTCACAATGAAAGTGGTCAAGCACTAGAGCCCCTAAGCAACCAGATCTTTTAAAGTTTAACATGGTTTAAGCAGGGGGTCAATTAGACTGCTTTCTGATGTCACTTCCAACCTTAAGTATCCTACAATTTTATCTGCCGTCTATGGGAAAAGCATGAGAAAATGGAGACAGGCAAAAACAGAGAAGTGACTTAAAGCGAAAGTCTAAAAGAGTAGTCCAACAGAGGTATACTTCTAAAAATTTCAAAACCTTAGACCTATTTATTTAAGTGATACAACTTACATTTTGAAAAACTTCATTTTCCTGCCTACACTAAACCATACACCAAATTTCAGCAGACATGTCAAAATTAGATCTTCCTATAAAACAGTGGCAATTTGTTTTTAAATAGAAGAAACTAAACCATATTTTTGCTGTAACAGTTCACATTTTTACCACTAAAAGGCTTCCATACAATCCAGTTCTTACTGGCTTTATGGTTTTTTCCCCCACAAAACAGAGATTTTTGCAAAGGATCTTAACAAAGGTCTCAGCTACAGGCACTTCCAAAATGTTGAAGATTTGCAACTGCACCTATATCAAAGGCACGGTATTGTCTAATCCTGCCGAAGTAGTATAAAGCGTCCAGTAAATTATTGTATAATACTCAGGGTACGGAAAATGATATATTTGCACTCCCAACTAAGACATCTACAGTCTTTACAACTGTTCAGCTTTCATTATGGGAAAGAACCAAATGATTCATTGCTTTACACAACTGAGAGTTAGTAGGTGAGACAACTATAAAGGTGAGAAGTACAATGAAAGTACAGCAAGACTGAAGATTCATACCCAAGAAACAAGAAGTGATCCTCTATACAAAGCAGCTACCACAAGGCTGCTACAAAGTACAGCATTTACTCCACACCAGGCATGTAGATGTGGATTAGCCAGCCCACAGTAAGTGATCATGAATCTTGACCCACGGTAAGCGATCATGAATCTTGACCCACAGCAAACACAAAAGCAGTCAGGCCAGATAGTAAGACAAAG